TATATATATATATACGTACATATTCTCTGATTATTGTGTTACTTATCGATACAACATGCTGGGGCCATGGGTGATATCAAATGCATAATATATCAAATGTAATACGAAGACATTAGATGTGTCTATTCATGATTTGTCAGCCCGGTACCGAACACCGTTAAGTGTTCATTACCGCGTTCAATACACAAAGTACGAGAAACAAGGAAACATAACAGATATTTGGTGGGCAAGGCCTACTATTTTTATCCAACTTTACATTTCATAAAGGTATAAGTCTATATACATTTTTGTTAAAATGTATTGTTTTATAATAAGTATGTCTATTATATACTGGATACGTTGCAAAGTTTTAATGAACTACTGAATGAAATAAATGTTAATCATTGCGCAACTTGGTTTCTAAATTAAATCACATTAGGTGTAGCAGTCACGAAAGAGTCATTCGAGTTCGAAAGCAGAAGCGGGAAATCTCTTGGTGCTATCGCTTACTACACATTACACAGCCAGACATTGTACGCGAAAACGGAAAACTAACAAAGTACATAATATATTGTACATTGTAGAATGTAGCCTATAGCCTGCTGGAGCCTTAATCTGTTCACTTTACGTTGGGGAATGGGGTGGGTATGGAGATTGGGTCTCGGGGAATATACTATGTACATATGTTATTTGGATGAATGAATGCGACGATGCGCACCATCATTTGACTCTTAATACAATAGGATTCGAAACGTGTGTGTAATATTATTCATACTTTGTAAGTTACATCGTAATTCAAGGCATCATCTTTTTAGTTACAGTACAGCTCTTAAAAAGGGAAAGAAAAGAAAAACGCAAGTTCTTGCCATTGATACTTAAGGGTGGTTAAATAAAAGTACATATGAATAAAATATGTTAATTAAATTACTTGTTAGAATGTGAGGCGCGATAACAAAGTTACTCATGTAAATACAATCGCACATATGCTACTTGGAGTCGTTGTTTGTATTACGTATGTAAATTACAAAATGGGGCGTTGAGATGTTTCGAATCTTGTCAAAACTCTACACGACATAGTTGCCTACGATATTGAAAACTAGGTATTACCTACAATCGAGTGTATCGTAACATAACAAAAACGCATGTCCTTATGTAAAAATTTAAACACAAAATACATTTATCAGTTAAATTATGTATTATTGAATGTTATGATTGATTAAATAAAGTGATATGACACTTTATATTTGTGCTCTCGAGTCTAAAAGATTCTCTCATAGAAATATGTTTTGCATACAAATTAATTTTGTGTGATGCAGGGATGTTTTCTCTGTGAAAAATTGATTATTAATTTAAAACAATGTGTTAAATTATTTTAATAGCCAATATTTATACTTGATGAGCATATATTCTTTTTTCCTCTTTTAAGGAAACTTTAAGTTTGTATTTAGATTTCTTAGATCATTGTCAGATTAAAAAAAAGAATATAAAGCTAAAAACTGTATCAACAATATATGTATAGGAAAATGTATATATTTATCAAAACTTGGAAAATATGAATACAGTACTATATATAGATTTTTCTATATATCAGATAAAAGAGATGCACACACACACACACACAAAATTATAAAAGAAAAGATATATATAACTTATCATTTTAAACTGTTACTACAAATGTATCACGATAGCTAAAATCTAATAGAACAATCGTCATATCGAGTCATAATTAAACAAGTTTAATTAATGAGGCTATTATTTTTCTGAGATGATTTCAAATATATTATTATTATTATTATTATTATTGCGCGTGTATTGTTTTCATTTCTGCATTGTTTTTGCGGATTTACTTAGTAAACAAACATTATTGCATTTATTTAAAATACAAACTTCGCGATTTAAGAATAAAACAGAAATACGTACCCCAAAGCGCGCTAATCATTACTGTACTCGATGCAAAAGGTAAATGTCCTCGGGCATATGATGAATCATACGAGAAAACGTCACGAGAATGTCTTGACAAAATTTGACGTTTGGAGCAGCCATCTATGTTTACACGCCGGCCGTTACTAAATGGCAACCAAACGGAGCAGCCTAAATAGCATGTGACCGCAGTGATGCTACTTCGTCACTGTGCAGGAGCCATTACAATTATGCGGCTGCATATTTTTGTTTCGGAAGAAACATGAGAGTATAGGATAGTTGAAATAATTGATTCCTTCTTTTGTATCACGTATTTAACATATTTAAAAATAAAACAAATATAATATATTAGATCGACGCGACCAAGTGCCAGCGGTGGTGTCATCTGTCGTACTCGCATGTACTACCATTCCCACGCCGCATAATCCGATAGTAGCCACTCTGTATATTCATCGCCGCCATCTCCGCGACTTTCGACAACAACGAGCGGAATAAAGCAGAATATTTCAGAGCGGCGTACTTACACTACTTACTTCCGCTGCCTCTCGCCTTCTGTGGATAGAAGTCGAAGATCATCTTACGAGAAATGGCTTACAACTTCCCTGGGGTACCAGCAACCGCTATGCCACCCATGGGTGAGCGATAACCGATTCTCTTATTAACCATTACTCCATTTGCCTTCCTTCAAATCGTTTCCATTCAAATCTGTCACCCTGACGCCGTTAGTTTCATTGATACACAATTTACAGGTATGGGACCAATAGGTCCGCTGGGTCCAATAGCAGGACCACAGAGCTTTATGGAACTAGCGGGTCAAGGTTTTCCACCGTTACCACCACCACCCATACCACTACCTGGCATGAACGATTCGCCCTTGGAATTTAGTACGAATAAGAATCAACCTCCGGTAGTGCGAGAAACATCGGATGATAACAATGATAGGAGAAGTGACAAAAATGACAATAGAAGAGATCGGGAGAACAGGGATAGCCGTGAAGTTCGAGATAACAACAGAAGGTGATACTCTGTTTTTGTTTGTTCTGTCAAATTATATGGGAAATATGACAAGTTACATGAATAACAATAGTCTTACATAATTTATCTGTTTAAAATCTAGTTATAACTTATTCATTATGTTTGCAAAAGGTCAAGAGGAGAACGCAGCGATAGACGCGACAGGGATCGTGATAGGAGAGAGGAGAGAAGCGACCGAGATCGAAGGGACGATCGAAGAACTGAAGAAAGAAATAACTCAAATTCTTCAAAGAATAATAGCAATCATGCGAATAATTCTAATAACAACAATGAAGTTTTGTCGTCGACAAATACAAACAACGCGCCGAGTATAGGCACGCAGATGGAACCTGCTACAGGTGTTTGGGGAATGGGAGTGGGTTATTCTATGATGGGTATGGGTCCCATGGGACCAATGGCGCCCATGATGGGCGAGATGACATTGGGTCCGCATATGAGTCATACACACGGTTACAATCCAATGGGTATGGGTATGATGTCACATGATGGCAGTATGATAGGTGCTCAGATATTGGGCGCTGAGCAGATTATGACAGACGCAGCGCAAATAATGACCGCGAGTTTACCACCGCCGCCGATGACGCCTCAGGGTACCAAAGAAATCATACATTGTAAAAGTTGTGTATTGTTTCCACCAAATCCGAATGCTCCACCACCTACCACGCGAGAGAGACCACCAGGATGTAGGACAATTTTTGTGGGAGGTAAGCATTGCACATTGAATAATAAATTACTTGAAAATCTTTACATAATCATACTACCTACACAGGGTTGCCGGAAAACATTACGGAAGCTATAATACAGGAAATATTTGAACGATGTGGAGAGATAACTACTTTGCGTCTTTCTAAGAAGAACTTTTGCCATATACGCTTTGTTTTGGAAGCTAGTGTCGATGCAGCAATTTATTTATCAGGTTATAGAGTAAGAATAGGATCGAGTGGAGAACCTGCAAATACCGGTAGACTTCATGTAGATTTTGCTCAGGTTTGCTGGAAATTGTTTTTTTATCCAAAAATGTGTAATTTTATAATTAAATTCTACTTATATATAATCATTAATAATGATTTTAGGCTAGAGATGACCAATATGAATGGGAATGTAGACAACGACAGTTACAAAGGGAGCAACGTCATAGAGAAAGAGTAGAAAAGGAGAGACAAAGACCACCGTCGAGTCCGCCTCCAGTAGTACACTATACGGATCATGAGGCATCAAATATCTGCGAAAAAATTAAGCAAGATGATACGTTTATGAAAGCAGTACAAGTGAGTAATCATTTTAATGAATATTCTAATACATACTTTAGTTTCCAGTTTCTAGTTACATCAAATAACGTCTCTGTATTTTTATGATTCGAACGTGTTGTAGATTGTTGTAACATGGTTAGAACGAGGAGATTGCATCAAACGTAACGCCAATATCTTCTACTCTATGATACAATCAACAAACTCTCATGTGCGACGACTCTTGACGGAGAAA